TCTGGCTAGATCTACACTGGCTCAGAGGAGCTAGGTCCTGCAACCAGCAGATGGGCCATAATATCAGAGGCAGCCTGAGGCCTCTGTCAGGCTAGGGTGCCAGAGGTTTTAGCTGGGATCAGCTCCCACCCTCCCTTCTTAGAGGGCCCTTCCTGTGCCCTGTAGCTGCCAGGCTCTGCTGTTTGCTGGGACTGCCTTGGGGACCCAGGGAGAAAAGTGGGAGGGAAGGTCCAAATATAAATGAGTGAATGTGATGTGTGTGGCTGTGGGTGTGAGAGCTTGTGGGTGTGAATGTGTGAGTGTGCACAAGCTGTATGGATATGCCATGTGTATTGTGTGATGCATAATTGTGTAGTGTGTATATGATGGCTACGAGTGTGTGAGTGTGCAATGTGTATTGTGTGATGTGTGGAGTGTGATGAGCAGTGCGTGGCACGTGTGTGCATGAGTATGATGTGTGTATGAGTGTCTGCAAGGACCTGGGTGCACTGCGCTGTAGCCAGGCCTATCAGGTGGAGCTGGAGCTCTGCGAATGAGCCTGGGTAAAGAATTTCCCACATTTGTGGCCCCAATGAAATTTTTAAAAGCATCACATGGGGTTAAGAGCAAAAATTAGGGTTCTGAAATGAAATTATGGCATTTTCCCATAAATGAATGGAGCTGGAGACTGTCATGCTAAGTGACATAAGCCAATCCCAGAAAACCAAAGGCTGAATGTTCTCTCTGATATGTGGATGCTAACTCACAATAAGGGCGTGAGGTATGGAGGAATAGAAACACTTTGGATTAGTCAAAGGGGAATGAAGGGAAGGGAGGGGGAACGGGAATAGGAAATACAGTGGAATGAATTGGACATCACTTTCCTATGTTCATATATGAATACAACACCAATGTCATTCCACATCATGTGCAACCAGAAAAATGGGAAGTTGTACTCCAGCTATGTGTGGTATGTCGAAATACATTCTACTGTCATGTATAACTAAAAACAACAACAACAAAGAATTAGGAGTCTGCCAGGCAGAAGGTAACTGGAGAGATCAAACTCCCACACCTTGGCCCGTCCAGACATTGCCTTGAGATGTTGTCCCAGGGTGTCTAGGGGCAGGGGCCCTTAGGAAGCCTGGCCCCTGGATAAATTATGCTGTTTACCTGTCATATTCTCTTCACTCTTCTTTTCCCCATGTGAATTTGAGCTCCTGATTCATGGGCTGCTGTGTTCCCCGCGTTCCTAGTCCCAGGAGTACACAAAGGCAAAGGGGACTCAACATCCTCCAGGGACCAGAGGGGTGTATGTGATGGAGAGCATTCAGGCCTAGAGGCATAGTCGTTCACTTTCCATGACCACTTCTTAACTGAGGCTTTGCTATCCTCCCCGTGTTACTGCTAGGCTTAAAGGAGCATTCTTCCTAAGGTGAAGGTGGCAAGAGGTGAAACTTACCAGGGGCACGGCGCACACCCTGGAATACAGTAAGAGTGAGTGGGGTTCACCATTGTCACTGGGTTGTTCTGGATTCTGCTTTGCTATTACATTTCTCTGCCTTGGCCTCCCACATGGCTAGTTTCCAAAGGGCCATCTCCTGGGCCTGTCCACATGGAATGCCTCCATCCTCAGGTGGCCCTCCCTATGACTCAGTGCTCCTCTCTGCAGTGTCTGACCTTGAGAATCTCTGCTGGTGGGCTCTCCAGGGAGCCCCTCCCCACCAGGTGGAGGCACCTTCCTTAGGTATCCTGAACTTCCCTCCTTCCAGGAACTTGACCGTAGGCTTGCTTGGCCAAAACATACAGGAATTCAGGTGAATTATAGTGTGATTCATCACCCAAGTCCTGGATTTTAGAATATTCACGTTTCCACGTCCAGGATAAAGACTTTTGGATTTAGTTAAAGAGTGGATTGTAGCCTCTTCTTTCTTTTCTTTCCAGTGCTGGTGATGGAATTCAGAGTCTTGTGCATGCTAGGCAAATACTTGACTACTGAGCTGCACCCCCAGCCCAGAGCAGCCCTTTTATTTTTCAGCCTTGAAAGTGAAACTCTAGAGTTCTTGGCTCATACGGCTGGATGAACTCTCTGTTCTTGTTTTAATTTCATGGCGAACTGGGGCCGTTGGCTTTGGTCCTTCATCTGCTCTCTTATGTGCATGCCCACTGCCCACTGAGATACAAAGTCTCTCTGAGATGATCCCTCATTGTTTCTATTACACAGAATAGAAATATTCTCTAGCAGAGGTGATTGTTTTAGGGAAGCTAGTGAGGGGGTGGGGAAACACTGTTTCTTTGTCTTGGGGACCAGCTTCATAGACCACAGCACGGGTGGTTCCTCACTGCTCTCTATCGTTCTTAGGAGAGTTGTTCCGTCTTGAGTCTTGGAAAAGTCATGAACGAGTTTTCTGTTTTGCTTTGTTTAGCTTTAAAAAACAAAGTCAATTGCTATAATATATTTGAAAATCCTGTTGGACCTTAGTAATGCATAAGCATATCATTACCTAGCAGACTTAAAAAGAAAAAAAAGTCAAGATAATTCTAGAACTTGAGGAAGATTTCCTTATCATTAAATATGTAAATAGCTCCCTGAGTGGCTGTTGGTCACTGCTAAGTGTCTATCATCATCAGTCTTACAGTCAATAGTTATTCCCCTGTACTGGGCTGAATGGTAGCTTCCTAAAATTCATGTCTACCCACGAACCAGCTTTTCCCCTCCTGTGCTCCTGGGCAGCTGATGAGCTTTGGGCAAACATCATTATCTTTGCAATCACTATTGACAATATCAGTTAGGAATAATGAGACTTTCTGAGATGTTAGTGACATTTCTTGGCCTTTGATTCTGGGTACTGGGGGACTGGCCTCCTGGTTATTGGCCCTGATGCAGAAATTGCATCTTAATTGTTTGTCACAGACAGGGACCTCTCGTGGGTCAAGAGTAGCTTCCTGAGGGATAAAACACTTATAGGTTCCAACATGCCTTGTAATTTTAGTTCTCTTGGAATGATTCGCTGTCATCCCGGGAGAAGCTCGGACTGCATTCCCATCACAGAGAAGAGGGAAGTCAATACTTCTGATGGCCACCTCTCTAGCCTGGGGAGGAGCCCAAGGCCCTGAGCCAGGCACAGGACACTGTAGTCAGTGGGACTGGAGGGAAGAATAGGGGGAAGGGAAGTCTGAGTCCCTGCAAAGGTAGGCTTGGGAAGTGACCCTGAGACAACGTGCTCAAGGCCCAGGTAGAAAGCACGGTTCCCATCAGGCAGAATGGAAGACTAGGGAGAGCTTTCTTGAGGAGAGACTTCTCCACATCCAGGCCCTGAGGAAGAGTCCAGGTAGGGATTGGAGAGGGGACACAAGCTGCCAGCCAACAGTTTGGAGAGTCCTTGTAGGATGTGACATGGTTTAGTTCCAGAAGCTAGGATAAGCTTAATAAATAAGGGGTCCTTTATCTAACCACTAACCCCCTCAAAGAGACTTTGGATCAATCACTCTAAACTTTAAGTTATCATTTAACTAGCGTTTAGCTGATGAGCCTATAGAAAGAGTTTACTCTTGTGCTTACCTTGCTTTTGATTAGAGGCCTATTGATTTTGGAGGGAACACCAGGAACAGGAGATTAAAGGTTAAGTATTTACTATTCTAAGGTTTTGTTGTTTGTTTGTTGTTTTATCAGTGCCCATCAGAAGCCCTGGTTACACTTGCTTTCAGTTTATTCCACTATAATCTTAATTATATTCTATAACAAAATTTCACATAAAACCATTCTTCCATTGAAAACAATTGTTTCATTGAAGACAATCTTGGTCCCACTTTCAGGAACTTTCCTAGCCCTCTTTAGTCCAGCCTCGGGAAGGAGTTGGGGGAGCCTGTTGGCTTAGACACATGCCCCAGGGTATTTAAAAATGGGACCAAAGAAAAATGCTCTGGAAAAATTATCTGGAAAACCCCAGGTATGGGAGACAAATGCAGTCCAACCCTTCTTGGTGGCAATCATGGTCTTTAATTATGAATTAAGTCACATTTCTGATTTGTTAGCAAGGGCCAGCTTGTAGATGCTGGTTGAAATACAGAGCTCAGAGGAAGAAAGAGCTTTAATTTTAGCTCTTGGGAGATCAGCCCCTCCCTGGCACCATCTGACATTCTCTTTTCTTCTCTCCACTTATAATTCTTCAAACGTGTGTTTGACAGCCCTCTTATCTTAGATCCAGGGGAGTGACAGGAAGGGAAGGAGTTATCTTCCCTGCAGGTGGGACCTGGGAAAGATCAGTCACTGCCCACATTTTTCCTTTCCTCCTCCTTGTTCTAAAAACTACCTCTAACAGTGGGGCAGGACTCTTACAGAAAGGTTCCTGGTCAGGAGATGCCAAATCCGGTTTGATACTCACTTATCTTACTGGGTGCCCTTGAGAAAAACTCAGGACCTCAAAGTTCTTGCCTAGGACTGCAAGAGTATGTTTATGATGACTTGTATGTATGCTTTAGGACTTCAGGCACTGTATGATGTCACCCATTGGGGGTGAGGTGATGTACCTGCTAAGGTGTCATGTCTTATGAGTGGATACACACTGGAAGTATCGGGCCTCCTTCAGTGATATTTATTGGGACGTGGCCAACTGGGTTTATGGTATATCTGTCCCATCATCTAGCAGGATGCCTGGATTCTAGTAAGTATTCAAACATGACTTTTTAATGAAGGAAAGAAGAAAGGAAGGAAGAAAGGGAGAGATGGATTGGAGGGGAAAATATCACTGGCACCCCACCATAGGGGTGTAGGGAGGCCCCAAAGGTTCTCCTTCCTGAAATGATCTCCCCACCCAGCTCCCCCTTCTTTCAGAGAGACCCCTCTAAGATCTGAATCCTTCACACTTGAGGTTCTCTCAACAAAAACTAGCTGCAGATGGACACTCCTTGTGCCCCACCCCACCTAACAGGAACAATTTGGCCAGGCTTCGATGTCACTGAGGACAGGACCAGCAACCTCTGAGCATAGGTAGAAAAAGCCTAGGTGGGGGTGAGTGCAGGCAGCAGATCAGCATAATTCTGAAGGTGATTGTCACAGGCGATGGGGCAGGTGGCTGGCGCTGCCTAGACTTCATTGGGTTCCTCCTGGCCCTGGGCAGCTATCTTGCCGGACTGGAGCAGGAAGGCGGAATAGGCCATGTCGGCTTCCTCCTTGGATGACTAGGGGGCAAAAGAAGAGGCATCAGTGGATGAGGGTGGGGAGGGAGGGGTGCTTTCCACATCCGGGATTCATCATCTTGACCCAAGCAACACAAGCTTGTGTGGCCCCCTGTTCTCAGGCCTGCCCTGTGCTTACCAAGAAGCTCTGATTTTGAGAAATGGAAAGTTGCAACCTCTAAAAATATCTCCCTCTGTCTCACTACCTCCTTCCAACACGTGGGGCGGAACCACCTCTGTTGCCCTGGCCTGTCCCCGGAAGCTGTGCCCACACGGTCCATGGGCAAGGTGGCCCAGGCTGGCATCAGGTAAGGTGGTTTGTGTTTTTCTTTCTCCACTAGCCCAGAAAGGTAGCTTTTCAGCAGCAGGTGGGGAAGCTGCCTGTAGCTTTGTGGATACCTCTTGCTAAAAGCAGAGGTGTCTGCTGTTGCCAGGGGAATTATATAGGATAAAAAGCATGAAGGCTTCAGAATTAGAGTCCAGTCAGTATCCTTCTAGGAAGCCACAGGATGAGGGTGACATGTAACCCAAAGTCCAGAGTAAGCTCTGGTGGGATTTCATGTACTGGTATACTGCCACTCCACTGGGGGTAGGCAGGGCCTGCCAGTCACCCACCACCCATCAAGTTGCCCACCACCAGTGAATGTCTTTCAGGCCCAGACAAAGAGCTGGTGCTGAGCAACTCTCAAGGGAGGGTGAGTGACCTAAGGAAAGTCCAGGGGTCCCACAGCCCAGAAAGAGCATCTCCCAACCCCCAGCTCTTGACATGTGATCTCCCCGCCTGTGACCACACCTGTCAGGCACTTTTCTTTCTTCTGTCCTGGCTTCCTCCCTCCTGCAGGTTTACAGTCTACCAATGCAGCTGCCTTCTTCCTCAGCTTTATACACAACACCCACAACCAGGAGGAAGTCTTGCCCCTCCTGCAGAAAGTCCCCCTGAATACTGTTTGTGCCATCTTCCCTGTTCTGGGGTCAGCCTCCATGCAAAGGCGCCCCTGTCCTGATATCTAACCATAATTCCTCATCTTGCAATTCCTTGTCACTCCAATGGGGCTCCCCCGCCTCCCCCATGCTCTTACCCTTTTTGCTTTCTTGGGTTCTTCAGGTTCCGTGTTGCCCTCGGGGGTGGCCATGGCCTCTGCATATACAGAGAGTGTGGTTAGCTCTCACTAGCCCCTGTTTCCACCCCAGACTCAGGGTCAGACTAGTTCTTGCTGCATGACAGTGGGGTTGAGCATTCTCTCCACACATACCAGCTTTTTCTTCAAGGATGGTCTCCTGAGTGACTGGAGCGGCTCCCATATTGTCAACGGCACCAAATTCCCTGGAGTTGTCAAAGTCTGACATGCTAATATCCGTCCTGTAGCTTCTAATTGAAACCCGGTCTGTCCAGGAGAAAGAAGGATTGGTGTAAGGACAGGGTTGGGCCAGAGAAGACCAGAGCTACTCCTCTCGAGGTAGCTCTGCCATAGCCCATGGGACAGCTACGGGGGTGGGACCTCTGGCTGCTCACTTCTGCCTCTGACCCAAAGCAGAATGGATCTGAGTCCCTCTTGGTGGATAATCAATACTCCCTGACCTTTGTCACTCTGTGATTCTTAATGCACAGCACCTGTTTTGCCCTCACATCATCCCTGTGAGATGGTTATTATCATTCTGTATTGAGCCATGAGAAAACTGAGGCATGAAGTGGGGATGTCACAGAGTCACATAGTCCTTTAGTCACTGAACTAGGCAGATGCCCAGGCCTCCCCGATCCTGGTCTCCTGGCAGCCCTGCCTCTGAACTTAGACCCCAAGCAATCAGAGTCTTCCAGAGACAGTATCTAGATAGGAGCACCTAATTAATTTGGGAGGTCATGGGGGTTTGTCTTTCCCAACTCACTTTCTCAGAATCCTTTGTGCAAGTCAATGGAGAGGCCATCAAGTCTACAGGACACTGTGGTAGCCTCCCATGTGGGCAGCTGAGCCAGGAATGAGGGTTCAGGGATGGAGGTGGGGTTGGAGAACATCCCAGGCACTCACCCACATTCTTCCGGTGCCGGGCTCTGGCCACCCACACAGCCACAGCCCCCGCTGTCAGAACCAGGCCTAGAGGCACCAGGGTGGACAGCAACACTTTGGAGCTTCTGCTTTGTCCCTCAGAGCTAGAAGAAGGGTTAAGTCAATCCATCACTGGAAGGGAGACTCAGGAGCTGCCCGATGAGCTGGCAGGTTGGCCCCAGCTAATGTTCTTCTCAGGTTAATCCATTCCACCCTCCTGACACAGCTCCCGAGCTCTGTTCTCCTAAGAAACCTTCCCAGACTCATAAGGCAAGGAATGGACCTTTTCTACATCCCAGGCTTGGAAGCTTGTACTAAAGTATAAACACTGCTCTGGCCATGTGAGAAGGATTGAGGGCACAAGGGACCCACAGCCCCAAGCTCAAGCTGAGGCAGTTAGGGCTGCCTCACTATTAAAGAGATGGGAACTGGTGGCCCAGCCTCAGGACTTTATCTGTGCTCAGAGTGAGGAGTCCCAGTCTTTCCTCACCTGCTAGTATCCGAGGACGCTCTGATACCAGGTTCTTGGTCTCCAGTATCCTCTACCACCGCTCCTTCTTCTGCAAAAAGCCTGGGATTCACAACGGCTTTGTTCTCAATCACTCTAACAGTGGGCTCCGCCACTTTCTCCTCAGCCCCTGGATTTGTGTTGGCTGGGCTGACCTCACGGGACCCTGGAGCAGAGAAGAGCAAGGACTCAGTTAAGTCCCTCCCCCCCCCACTTCCTCAGTGTTCTTACTCCCATAGGTTAGGGAGTCTGAGGACTGAAGCTTCATCAGAAATCACAGGGTTAGAGTTAGACCTCAAGACTGTTAGGGAGGGACCAAGATTGACATTAGAAGCAGAGGAGTGATGGCCTTCTCTAGCTTGTCACAGATGATCTCTGCCTCATTGCTACCCAAGTTGTTTCCATAATCAAGACTCTGTGTCATGGATCCAGCTGTGAATAAGGGCTCACTCAACATCTGGGGTCAGGGAGATTTTTCACAAGTTGAAACCCTGCCTGAAGCCTCCTAACTGCTGGGCAGTGCTGCCTCCTGGTGGTAGCTGGGTGTTGGTGGCCCCCTCAATGAACCAGATCAATAGGACCCAGACACAATGGGATATCGGGGGTGTCTAAAAATACCTCATTAGGGCAAAAAAGAGGCTGGAAATGTAGATCTGCTGGATGAGGTCATCTTAGTTTTCTTTCTTTCTTTTTTTTTTTTTGGTGCTGGGAATCACAACCAGGGCCTTGCTTGTGCTAAGCACATGCTCTACACTAAGCTAACCTTTGCCCCATGCCTTAATTTTCTTGATCAGATCTTGCAAATGAAGGTATTTGGTCCCACTTTTGAGGGCAGGCTTTGATAGAGGGCAGGAGGATGAGTATATTGCATGTGATAGTGAAATTTCCATCTTTCTAGTTACAGAATGCACTTTGGTTTGATTTGAAGGGGCAACTATGGCTCTTGTCTTACTGCTGAGGTTAAACAGCCAACTTACTATTTTTATATAGTTTGTATTTCTATTGAGATGCCCAATTGTCCTGCAGCCCCTGCCCCCCAACACACCTCATCCAGTTTCTGATGCCAAACCTAGGGCCACCTGTGGTTGAGAAATTGAACTTTTGAGTGGTCCTGCTTTGGGGTTCCAGAGAGCACAGGCCCTCCCCTTGGAGACTCACCCACTGCCACCTCCTCAACTGCCACATAGACTGCTGCAGTCTCTCCATAATTGTGGTCTTTTCTCACGCCACACCAGTACCAGCCTTCATCCTCCTTGACAACTGAATTCAGGGTCATGGAGATGAACCGGTTGTTCTGGTCACAGGTCACAAGGGCCTGGCTGGGGCTTTTGTCTTGGCTGGGCAGCTCCCTGCATTCCCCGTTGCTCCACTTGCACCAGTACTTCTCAAAGGCGTAGTATTTGCAGGGGAAGTGGCACTGGAGCTCAAGACTCTTCCCCAGCACAGCGGTCACATTCTCCGGTACCTTGAGGCTTGGTTTTCCTGAGGCAGGGAAGGAAGAAGACATAGGCATAGAAGTTGGCATGTGGAGGTGCTGTAGGAAAGTGACCATGGTGGTGATCTTTGTCCTCATTTCTCCTTTGCATAGTGCTCTAAATAGAATAGGCTAATTACTTAAGCAACAGAATGATGTGCTGATGTCATTGTCATTACTGATGCCCACCGTGATCGGTCCAGAGTCTGTTAAGAGAACACAGAGCTTTGCTCCTTGGTTTCAGTTTGCTTCCCTTACGCTTCCTTTTCTTCTAGACTCACATACAAGAGCCTTATTCAATATTCTACTTCACCTACTGCAAAAGAGGCCAGTGTTCCTGAAATTAGGAAGTGCTACATGTAGTAATTGGGAAGAGTGTGGGGTGCTTGTCATAGGTACCAAAATGTGACCTTTGAATAGGAAGGCTGTCTCCTGAGGACTGTCCTCATCCACACACCAGGATGCAGGTGAGATAGGAGGAACAATGGCTGGGGAGACTGCTGCTGACTTGAGTGGTCTTGGGGGTCTTCTCCCTTTTCTCTTGCCCCTAAGCTCTTACCGTCAACAATCTGGAGTTCCGTTGAGGTCCTCCAGCGAGTATTGCCATTGGTGAGACACCAGTAGAAGCCAGCATCCTGGGTGGTGAGCTGGTTGAGTATGACTGTGTAGGTGCCATTGCCCGGCTCTTTAAAGAGTGCGAGCCTGCCCTCATGCTCTTCCTGAACCTCCCCGTCGCTGGACACCAGCAGTGGGCAGTGGCCATTTTGTGTTCCTTCCCAGCGACACAAGTACTTGATGCTGTTGCTTTCCTTCCGGTCATAGGGGCAGAGCAAGGACACAGAGCCTCCTGTCACACCCTTCACCACAGAGGGATTAGAGGGGATCACGGTCTCTGGAAGCACAAAAGGAGACAGCATGGAAGGGTGGCAGCCAGGAGCAGGCTTGCATGGCCTAAGCAGCTTTCTCCCCATGACTCAACAGGGTGGAGGCCCTCACCTTTCTCAGAAAAAGAAAAAAACCCTCTCAGAACATATAGCTAGAGCCACCATGACCAGACCTGATGAGCTTCACCACCATGGATGGTTTGTTCCTTTTTCCTACCCCTTGATATAAATTTTTATCTATTTCTTAGCTCGTGGTTTAAAAATGACTCAGTGGATTGTAGCTAAATTCAGAAAAGCTATGTAGAATGGGTATGATTTCAGTGCAAATTTCGCAGCATAGATAATCTGAATAACCAAGGACCCTCAGAGGTATCTCAAATGGATAGACAGACATCCTCAAAGCATCTAATGCTGAGGTCCAGAGAGAACCCTGGGAGACTAAGGATGTGGAGGAATGTGGCTAGGACCCTGAGCTGGAACGAAAAGGGATGTGCAGGGAATGAGGGCTTCTTAAAGAAAAGTCCCAAGGGCAGATGCTGTGAACGGCAAGCTCTAGTTTGTTGCTTCTCTGAGGACAACTTTATGCAGAATATTGCAGGGATCAAAAGGAGGAGCAGGGATTTAATTGTTTTGCAGTGTGGATGGCCTTCCAATATATGGCCGAGTGAGCCAGATCATGTTGAATAACAAATAACCCTAAGAAATGTGGGAGTGGAAGATTTAGAGACTGGGGCATCACCTTCCTGAGAAGCTTTGAGGCCAATTCTTCTCTCATCTGAATGTGTAGGATGAGGTATCTGCTTTGCTCAGGGGTCAGAGGAGGGAACAGGGCCAACCATGGCACCCAAACCCAGATAATCTAGAAATCTTGCCTTCATCGGGAGCTTTGCTCTCCATATTCCTATTGACCAGAGGTGGCCACCAAAAGGCCTCTGATAACAGGAAAAGAATGAAAAGAGCAAAAGGCAGAGGCTGCTGCACTTTCTAACTTTCCTGTACTACTGCGTACATAGTATCCAGCTCCGGGGCTCCTGAGCGAATGATACTATTGACAGATGAACATTGATCAATAGACCCGGGAGCTGGAGCTAAGCTAGTTTCTCACTGCCTGCCCCACCCCTTCTCTCTCCCCATCCAGGGTCTTACCCTCATTGATGAAGAGTTGCCAAGCCTGGATGGGCCAGCCTTCCTTCTGCTGACCGCCGGGGTGCGCCCCGCATAGGTAGTGTCCTGCATCCCCCTTCTTCAGGCCTGTGAGCAGCACACTGAAGCGGCCGTTTCCCCTTTGGGTGAGTAGGATCCTGCCCTCAAAGGCTGGATCCCTCTTCCCCAGGGTGTTGATGACCACATCACAGCTTCCTTGGCTGTTTACCCGGCACAGAAATTGGGCCACATTTGTCTCCTCAGGGCCCAGGGCACAGTCAAAGTTCACGGAACCCCTCAGTTCTCCATAAACCAACTCAGGTTCAGGCTCTAGCACCTGGAGGTCAACATACTTCTTGTTACTACTGGAACCGTCCCCAGCCTGGCAGATATATATCCCAGCGTCGCTGAGTTTCAGTTGTTTGATGATGACGTTGAACATTAATTGGTTGGTACCCTGAATAACTATACTGGCTCTTCCCTTGAAGTTGGGGTTCACATAATTGGTGTTAATGACTAGCTCGCCTGTCTCCTTGAACAAGTACTTCATTTTCTGAGAATTCTCACGTTTGAAAGGGCAGTTGATGGTCACTGTTCTACCCAGGTCTACTGTGTAGACTTCAATGTCATCTTGGGGGTCAGGACCTGTAGGAAGAAGGGCAGGGGAAAAGTTGTGATTTCATTTTCTTAGAACATAGGGTCCTGTGCTGTTGCCAGTGAGGGTCTGGGTGGGCTGACAACAAGGAGTGCCCTACTCTCCAGAGGGATGCAGTCAGAATATGTCTGCTGGAACTCAGAAAATGATACCTGAAAGTGAAGCCTCAGAAGCAAACTTTCTCTCTGACCTTCTCCTGCCCTCCTGCCTCCCACCCTTGTTTTTCCCAAAGGCAAGCCATAGAAACTAGAATTCCTCTTTCTCAAGGCAGGCCATAGAAACTAGGACCCCTTTACCCCAAAGTTATTCACAAAACCTAAAAACATTACTCTAACTTTCCCCCCACTTTTGTGTGTAACAACTGGCCATAAAGAAATTCTCTGATAGAGCCTAGTTTGCCATAAGACCCTCATTCTGAGGGTTCCTGGCTCATATCCTGGAGGAAGAAATGCTAATACTGAAGGGCCAAGAAGAATTTGAAGAGTCAGGCCCTCCTGGGTCTCCAACTACATCCACCACGATTAGCTCATGCCCTTTTTGTCCTAGGACATTCCCACATGGCCTTCCCTGCTTCATGGAACCTAAATATAAAATCAGACGACTTTCCCTACATGTTTGGGTGTTTGTTCTGAAGGTTCGGATGCATGTGAAACTTTCATTCAGTGAATTTGTTATGTTAACCTGCCTTTTACTATAGAGGTGTTGACCATGATCCATATGATGGGTGAGGACAGGGATAACCCCCTTCCTCCCCTCCATCTTCCAAGGCCCAGCTGGATTGCTGTCTCCCCCATGATGGCTCCACCTAGCTGATACTAATCTCTCCCACCTCCGTGCCTTTCTTATGTTTGAATTGGTCCCTTCATCGGGTCTACTGGAGATCTAATTATGTTCTCCACAGACTGGAGGGCAGAAACGTATTTTTCTCATATTTGAGTCCCCAGCACAATGCCTATTCATAGTAGGTGCCCAAATTCACACGTGAGGAAATGAACAGAATGAATGTAATAACAGGTTGGTGAATTGCCGTGCATTACAATAGATATTTCTAAAAATTAAAGCAGTTCAATGGTGGAGAGGGCTGTCTTGTGAAACATGTGTGTTTCTGTTATCTAAAGTGTTTCATCAGAGCCTAGATTCCCCTCATCTACAGTGTTCTTCTGGATATCCACATAGGGAGAACTCTGAGCACTCTTCAGCTCTTAGGATTCCATCACAATTGGAACAACCTCTGTAGAAAACGGACCACGGCACACACAGCCCAAAGGAGCAAGACATACCCTGAAGAGTCCCTCCAAATTTCCTTCTTGAAGACTCTTTGTCTTTCAACTTGCCCTTGACTATCCCTAGTGCTCTCATGGTTACACTCTTGTCAGTAGTGCCTTTCTGTTTCTCTCACTGATCGGCACAGGCTTGTTCAGATGCCCCTGACTTCAGGACCCCGTCTTTGGTCAAGAACTGAAATTCTAATTTATGCTGACAGTTCTGATAGATGAATGGATCCCAGGTTAAAGAATAAATCCTCATTTTTAAAAGAAACCTTCTGGTGTCCCAAGACCCTGATCTAAAGGGTGCATTAATAGTAAGAATTTAAGGATCCTTGGAAATCTTTTTGTGTCTTTTCTTTTTCTTTAGGCTCGTAGACCGCTTGTTCCACCTTCGATAAAGGTAAGGAGAGAAGTTGTCCTCCTGATACTTCTAAGCTAAGCCTCAGTAAAGCCCTAAAATGTTACAGGCTCAGAAGACTTAGGCCCCCAGGTACATGTCACCTGTCTCCTTTCTGTGTCCTATTATGAAAAGTTTGCTTTGGAAGGGAGGTGCTCCCCACCCAGGCCGGGACCCCCTTCCTATCAGGGGTCCTTCCTCCAGCCCTCCCATTGTGCCTGAGTGATGCCCTCTCACTTGCCCCAGAAGCCCGCAGCACCGGGAGCCTTACCCTGGCTGACCTCCAGGCTTACATCGAAGGACAGGCCTCGGCTACTGATGCCCAGACCACACTTGTAGCGTCCAGAGTCATCCCGGGAGAGCTGGGAAATGTTCACCACGAACGCGCCCTCCTCCGGGAAGTTGGTGAGGTTGGCTCTGCCCAAGTAGTCCTTGGAGACGTAGCCCTCCGAGGAGATGAGGGTCGTGCAGACGCCCCTGGACCCTTGCCGGCACCAGTACTTCCGGGTGTGCCGGTTGACAGAGGTGGCCGGGTAGTAGCACTTGATGGACACTAAGTTACCTTCCACACTACTTACCTCCGCGGGACCAAATATGGGACTTTTCATGAAGACCACTGTGGGAACAGAAGACGGAGGCTTTAAGACACCCGGGGGTTGGGGGGTGGGTAAAAGATTGGTGGAGGGATCCAGACAGCTCCCCTAAAAGATGCAATTTCTACCTGTGGATATTTACAAGATACAAGTATATAATTGCTGTATTGGGTAAAATGATTTCTTAACCACTATTAAATTCTAATGCAATTCAATTGCAATCTTTTAAACACAATTGTTGAGTAACTTATGATATCTTTTATTTTTCTACATACCCCCTTTGCAGGGTACTGTATTAATCCATTTCTTATTGTTATTTCCTTATATTTTAAAAAATACTTTGTAGACGATTTTCTTTTTTTTCCATAAAAAAAATATTTAGAGCTGGGAAAGGTAATCAAGTCACTCCAAATCCCATGGTAGCTCATAAAGATGCTTGGTTTGAGGTCAAATTCTTTTTATTCCCAGAGAAGACCTTCACCAGACCCTGCCCTTGAAATTAGGAATTGCCATTCCTGTTTCTGATTCCCGATGCTCACTAAGCCTTTTTCAGATATGATGCTTCTGCATTATGTCCTTCTCGAGGGAGTATGAATTTGGAGAGGGACATCCCTGGGGAGTGTGATTTCAGTGTCCTCAGGGAACTGGATTCTGGAGGGGGTCAGATGAAGGACGTGGAACCCTGAGGAGTTGGGACCTGGCAGACACACCTGGGAAGACAGCCATCAGGCAGGTGAGCAAGAAGAGCCTCATCGCTGGTGGCTCCAGTGGGGGCTGTGCCACTCAGGCCAACTTCTTTTGTGAGATGCTGAAAAACAATAACCACAGGGAGATGAAGCTCTTCAGTCTTCAAAGATGAGATGACCTTAGAGTTTCCATAAACTCTATTTCCAGCAACTGACATAAATTCTGCTAATGAATGAATGAATGGCTAAAGTTTTCTCATCCTATACTATTTATTGGTCTTCAGTAGTTATAAGTAGCTTTAGTCTTCTTACCTAAGCTGCACGTTCCTTTTGTCTAGGGCTATTGGTGACATTCTTTTGTATCTCTGTCCAGGAGATGTGGTATGGAGACCTTAGTACTGGCTCATTGATGATTGGTTACTATCAAGAGGTGGCCCCATTTTTGTCAAAACATCAGCCCTCCAGATATCTCTGGGAGGTGGAAGAGGCTGGCATATTTTTTTGATGTGTTCAGATGAGTAAACTGACTCCCACAGAGGAGGTCTAATAATTACGAAGGTTGTAAATATAATGAGGGAGCAAGACATCACCTTCACCAATTGTTTCTTACCATGTCCAGGGCACTGTTACATAATTTATATGTGTTGTCTTATTTAAAACTTGATAACCCTATGAAATAGGTATTCTTACCACATTTTGCATCAGTGGAAATTAAAGCTTAAAGGTTAAGTGCTTTACTCAAGGTCACACAGGGATTAAGTGTGTGTGGATGGGCAGCGTCGGGCTTGAGCGGAAGATTTGAAGCCAGCTTTCTGACTCCAGGGTCTGTGCTCTGGGCTACTCCACGGCAGGATATCGCAGCCCAAGTGTGATAGCATGTTTACACCTGGTCGTTTGCAGGGCCTCGATTGCTTCTCAAACACAGTCTTTGACGCTATTCATTTGAGCTCTATAACTTCCTTGAACCAAAACAGACATCATCACAACCGTGATGTGGATAAGAAAATCAAGGTTTTAGGATGCTGAGTGATGCCCAAGGTTTCCCAGTGATTTGGTGATGGCAGCAGAGTTAAGCATGTAGATGTTAAGATCTTTGTAATCATGCCTGTAAGGACTGGCAGAAACCAACAGAGAATCTGAGGCACCCTTGTAGATTTTGTGTCCACCACCAACACAGCCCCAAGAGGCTTGAGGCCCAGGACCCCACCTGACTGCAGCTCTCCTCAAGATCCAAATTGCAGCCTAGAGAAGAGAAGAGGAGAAGAGTCCCCACATCCCAGCGGACTCTGACAGACTTTCAACTTTGGAATGTATAAGACAAAGAGCGTTAAAAGAGAAAACAATAATAATAAGCAAGGGCAGTAATGAGCACCCATAAAGATAGATAAGGAAGCTGTAGCAAGAGGGAGCTGGGCATTATCTCTCCTCACTGCCTTGGCCCAGGCTCCTGTTCCCAGAGACTTCCTTCACAGCTTGAGCCAAAGGCAATAGCATTGTTTATCTTGGTTATTTCTTTTCCGTAGGGGAATTTCCCAGCAAGGAGTCCTTGTATTTCCTTGTGTAGATAAAAGTATTTTGTTTCTCTAGTTCTTTGGAAGAGTATGGGAGGGGTTGGGGACAGATATGGATGTCAGGTGGCAACTCTAGGTTTCTTGAGTCCAGCTAATTGCTCCAGACCTTTCTCACCCGATCAATGATGAACTCCTGGAGTGAGACCTTAGCCAAAAACCAGAGTCAGCCTGGGTTGAAAGTGCTCAGGGGCTGCTGGCTGGGGGCTACCTGAGTGGTGAGACTCTGGAGTTAGGATGGGCTGCAATGTCCTAGGAAACCTGCCACTTGCCATTTGTGCTCAGCCCTGAGCACAGCTGCCAGTGGGAAGGCCAAATAGCTCAAAGTTTTAAGAGCCCTAACCTGCAGCCCAGCTATCCTTTATTCTCATTGCTATTCTCACCTGTAGAAAAGCAAGTTTCCTAATATTTTGTGAGACAGAAGTGGGTCTTTCCATGGGCTCGGCTGAAGGCTGCATCCCTTCCTCTTGATCAGTGAAGTGACTTGCCCCTGAAGTCACTTGGCATCTGAAGTCAGATGCCAGGGTTTCTAATGTGGCGGGGGGGTGCAGTCAGCTCTCAGCCTGCTTTCTTCCCATTCTGTGACTTATTTGGTTGGTGGAACACGTCTGCATGGAAGAGGGACATGCGTGTGCCCATTACCTTTTGCATATTCTGAAGCCAGAGGTGAATTGCATTAGGTGTGCATAGCTAGAAAAGCAAAGCTGGCAGAGGATGACCTTGGTACAGAAGCAGAGTCCAGTCCCAAGGGGCATAGTGGGGAAGAGAGGGCACAGATGCTTTTGAGAACAGGAACTTTTTCTTGCCCAGAGTTAAATTTGATAGCAGCTAAAGGACATGTACTTTGAGGATCAGTGGGGACCACTTTATCTAAGCCATATTTTTCTCCAAATCCAGGAAATTCAAGTTTCCAGGAAGCCTCAGTCGCAGGGTGTCTGAAATGGGATTTAAAAGATTTGCCTAAGGAAGGAAGGAAAGGGCAAAACACTTACTTGATACCTATATTGTGCTGATGCTTTGCTAGTTTTTTTCCTGATTGATTTCATTCATCAGCACAGAAACCCAAGAGGCAGATGTTATTATCTTCATGTTGCAGATGGGAAATCTAAGGTTTGGAGTGATTCTGGACCCCAAAACCCACATAAGAATTAGAATTTGAGGATATCACCCCATTATCACTCTTTGAATGGGCTGAGGGATCTGTTCTATTGGGTTCTATGTATGCTAGTACATCCTGCTTGAAGGTACCTTATCTGGTCCTTAAACTATGAATCTAATGTTTTTAGTGGTTGGACTGAAATATCCAAATCATTCTCAGCTTAGTAAGTTAATGCCTGATATATTTACAAGGTATGTCCCCAGGATCGTGGACATTCCTTGTGTATCCACCTTGTATAAGGCCCATGGCTTATAGGGGCATAAGCCATGCTGAAAAGTAGAGTTTGTCTCCTGTGAAATTAATTTAGCTAACTCCACTGCTGTTAGACTGCTCTTCAGCTCTCCTGGCATGGAGTTCAAACCGTCTAATCTCAGGTTTTTTTTCTTCTTTTTCAAAGGAAGAGGTATCACCGCGGCCTGGGTCCTGGCTGGGCTTCTGGGGAGTCATGTGTTCATATAATGCTGTAGCAATCTGAGCTCTCAATATGCTTAGGACCAGGAGATGGTCAGTGACCTTCTCACGGTCCCAGGAGTTTCAGAAAGGACAGAAACCATCTGATAAAAAGACTGGAAGTCAGAATGGCAGTTTCTGACAGCCCGTGAATGTGAACTTGGAGGAACAGAAAGCTGTGGAGTTCAGAGGCATGGGGGATGTCTGGCTTAGCTTCGGAGAGGTTTTTCCTGGCCTGGACTGAACAGCCCTTCCTCTGCTTCCAGGAGAGGAACTGCCCTAGTCCCCTTGGGACTGTCACTCTCATCTTCCATGGATACGTGGGTCGAGCACAGAATGAGCTTGGAAAAAGTTGACTGAAGAAGGAGCTTCAAGGATGGAAGAGAACACAGAGGTCCAGTTCTGGTCTACCATGGGCTACAAGGAGAGTCCTGTCACTTGGGCAAAATATGCTGGTCAACTCCATCATCTGTAAAATAGGTACAAATAGCCCTGTGTTCTTCTAGTTTGAAGGGCTAGTAAATTAGGATGGGAAGATGGGGGGAAGGATAATGGGATACTGTACATGGAAGCACTTTAGGGTCAAGTGCTCTTCGACCATAAGATATTTTAATTACTCTTAATCATAGGAGGGTAGGAAGGGTCTGCACACTTGACTTTCATGGTTGCTGTGCACTTGACTGAGAGTGGCACAAAGCACTGATTCCTCAGTGTGGTGTCAGCTCTCACTTGGTGGCTATGTGATTTGGGGTAGACTGTTTAAACCCATTGAGCCTCAAGCTTGTCTTCTGTAAACTGGAGATAACGTACCTTGTGCAGAAGGTTGCTATCAGGATAGAATTGAACAACATATATGAAATCCTTACCATGGCAACAGACTTTAAATTCTTTCTCCCTCTCCTCTCTAAAACAAATGCAGCCTTCTCTTTTTTCCTGTCATCAAGTGAGAGGAGAATGGAAGGCTGCTTGGTGGGCATCTTTTCAAGACAGGGAATGAGCTTTTCAGGTTGGGCCCCAATGGCTGAGAGAGGAGACAAGCACTGTGGACTAGCTTATAAGGAAGAACGAAACACCACCTTTTTCTGAGTGTTTTATATGTGTTAACTGGGTTAATCATCACAGCCACCATAGAAGGTAGAATAAAATGGGCAACCCCACTTCACAGATGAGAGGTCGAGGCACAGAGAGGTAAGGGTTTCTTATGGGGGGGGGGTAAGCAGAAGCAATATTACATAGCTTCTAAGTGATAGATGGAATTCTGGACCAAGAGCGTAGGAACTTAGCTGCTCTGCTGTACCCAGAGGTCTTGTTGGTGAGAGGAAGCAGTGGGGACAGGAATGAGCAGAATCTCCAATCTTAGAGAAAGAGGGTTAGTCCTGTTCTCTCTGCCTTACACAGAAAAGGAATCTCCCATGAAGAGACACTTGGACCCAGAAATAGGCGCCGAAAGAGAAATTTCTTCCTTAAAAAATATTAACTGCTATTTCCCTGGCATCGACCATGTGTTGGGCACATTACATATGCTTCCTGTGTCTGAATATATCCATCCCAAAGCATCTTTCTACTCTACCATACTATGTCAATACCAGTGACTCTGAGATCTCAGCTCCAGTCCACCCAGAGAAAGAGCGAGACAAAGGTGAGCGTCTCTGCTGAACATCATGCTTGGGTAATACATGGTGAGTATCCTTTACCTAAAATACTTGAGATTAGAAGTATTTTAGATTTTGGATTTTTAAAAAAATTTGGAATGTTTGCATGTACATAATGAGATATCTTGTTCAGCCAAGTCTACACATGAAATCCATGTAAGCTTCGTATGTGCCATGTATACATAGCCTGAAGGTCATTTATACATTTTTAGTGCACTTGCATTTTGACTAAAACCTGTCACATGAGGTCAGGTGTCAAATTTTCCACTATGTCAGGATGACTCTCAAACAGTTTGGTGTTTTAGAGCATTTCAGATTTCAGATTTTGGGTTTAAGGATGCTCAACCTGTAATTTTTTAAAGTTAGGTAAATTCATTTTTTGGTGATATCAAAATCTCACAATTGCATCTGAATGGCTGTATCCACATGTCATCATTCCTACTCGCTGGATGGTTTTTACACCATTCACATAAGCTCGTGTATTTCCTGAGCTATAAATTGGAACTACCAGGGTCTGGGGTTGTGGCTCAGTGGTAAAGTGCTTGCCTAGCATGTGTGAGGCACTGGGTTCAATTCTCAGCACCACATATAAATAAACGAATAAAATAAAGGTCCATCAACATTAAAAAAAAAAAAAAAAAAGGAACTACCATACCTATGCCGCCTGTCTCCCAGGTTTGTTGTGGGTCGAATGAAATAAAACCGTGAAAGTCCAGAGTAAGTGGATTTACTAAATGGAAACCGACATGATCACGTTTCATAAACCAAAACCATGGAGATGCAGGGTAGCAAGAGACCAGCAATGATCACAGAGCGAGTTGCTCTCCTGATTTCTGGCTCAGTTCTTTCTGTTCCATCACCGCATCCTGGGCCAGGGAAAAGCATGGCTGAGAGCTCCAGCCATGACTTTGAAAGACCCTCTAGTTTCAGCTGCCTCTCCCTAGGCCCCCCAAATTGGCATTTTCCCTCTCTAGATGTTAAAGAAGCTATAATTTCTCTAGTGAAGGGACAAAAGGGATATTACACAATATGTGAACTGCCTGAGCATGGAAGGTGGCCCTGCCCAACCTTATTCTGTTACTCTGTTACTCTGTGAGGACCTCATATTTCTCGCTTGGAGCAAGGGCAGGATGATACTATGATACATGCTTATGCTTCAGGTGGAAGGAATCTGCTGAGGCAAAGCTGAATTGCAATTAGAAAGGAATTCAGAGACTCTCTGAAGCCTGAAGGGACTGAGCATAGCTTCTGCAGACAGAAAATTTCAAAGACTAGAAGAGGCTGAGTCCCTGCATTCTATATGCATTATCTGAATCCAGGTCTATGAGACGCTCCATAAATCCTGGAGTGATTGAACTAAATTAAAAAAAAAAAAAGACCAATTTCTGTTTTGCTCTAGAGGTCACAAAGTTATTTCACACATATTTTCTTATTGCACCCAGATCCACCCGGAGTGCTAGGTCTTATTTATATTCCCATTTTACAGATTAAGGAACTGAGGCTCAGAGAGATCAAGTGTTTTGCCTAAGGTCACAGTTAATAAACAGTGGAGGAGTAAGGGAATCTGGGGACGGAGCTTAATGGGAAGAATGACATATGGTGACCACACATTTTCCTTCTTGTCTGCTGGTATTTTGCAAAAAAGGATGGCCGGGGGGTTTCTACACCCATGTCTGTCCTTACTTGTGCCTCTGGGAAATGCACCTTCCTCCCCACCTCCACATACAGCCACCCAGTCTGCCCCATTGTCCTCCTCACTCCAACCTTGTGAGGTGTGTGGGACTGAGCTACCATCCCAGGTAGCATCCTGCCCAGGATCCCGGAGCTACCACACTTACATTTAGCTACTTCCTCCTCTCCTGTTGATCCAGCTTCAGGGGTACAGCCTGCCGGCCAGTCCGTGTAACCCCTGCCTCTGTGGAAGCTGCCAGCCGGGCACTGGATACTGCCACCAAAACTGAAACTGTGCTCAGGGCTTGACCTACACCTGGGCTCTTAAAGGGCCACTCTCCCATAGGCACGGCGGCTAGCCAGGGGCACGTGACTCACGGATCCCTTCTTTCCTTTCATTTCACCTTTCCTGGCTTGCTCCATTGGCTTTCCCTTGACCTTGGGGAGAGTCTTTTACTTGGGAATCCTCCATCATTATAGCTGCAGGATATGGGGCAGAGTGTCAAACACAAAGATCCTGCTCTGTCACTTTCTAGTTAAAAGATCTTAATCACATCACCTTCATATTTCTTTTCATCTGGAAAATAAGAACAATCATACCATGTCTACAGGTAGGGGATACGGCCAGGTATTAGATGTAAAATGCCCAGCCTGATGCGTGGTGTGAAGTTGACATTCATTCCATGGGGTGCAGGCAGCAGGAGTGGCTCTCTTACTCCTTGATCTCACATCCCAGTCACTAGGGAACCCACTCAGTCTGGACCACGGCACCCTCCACACACCTTCAGCAAAACCCCTTTTACCAGCCTTGGTGTTTCTGGAAACTGGCAGGCAGAGCTTCCAGGAACCTGGGGGACTTTTCACTCCTGGAGGGATTAAAGATTCTGTTTGCTTCTGGGTTCACACCAAGGAAGGCACCTACCTGTCGGGCGGAGGTAGCTACCTCCTTCCCACCCACAGTTAGTCCCTGGTGTGATCCCGGGATGTGATGTGGTTCTAGGTGTCCCCAAATATTCTTAACCATCCTGTGTCACACACGGGAAACCCATTCCCCAACACACACACACACACACACACACACACACACACACACACGCCTCACCCCCATCTCTCACTACAATCCTATACCAGAAATTCTGCCCCGTCCTACCTGGGCAGGGCTGACCTGGCTCTGTCCTCTATAGAGTCCTACAGGCCAAAACCCAGAAAGGGAAGGAGAAGGGAGAAATAGAGCCATGGAGAAAAAGTGAAGTCAGAGTCTGGGTTTTATTTTAGCTAACCACTGATTCATGCTAATGTGCTAACCCACAATCACAGGTTTGAATAGCAAGAAAAGAAAGCATTTTTTTTTTTAAATTCTGGAGTTTAATTCCATATCCTAAACTCATATCCTGGGTGATGTGAAGGAAAAAAATAGTTGCACAGTAACTTTCAGGCAAACTCGGTCTTATTCAGTACCTCAGTCCCTTCATTCCAGGTTTAAAATTCAGTCTCTGAATTTTCCTTCCTTTCCGTCTCCCTTCTCTCCCTCCTAAGTAGCTGGGGTGACAGGCACCTCCGTGCTGGGCTCTGATCTGCTTCTTTTTGAGGCCCTCGGGAGATCCCATGCAGCAATGTCACACTCTGTAACCTTCTGGGTTCCAGTGTTCCCATATAATTGTGGGTGCAATTATATTAGCAAGATTGTGGGCCACCAAAGTTTTATAGAGGACAGACTAGGTGCAGGTCCTCTTGGCTCTGGAATTTCCAAATCCATCTGGATGTCCATCATTGTTAATCTCTTCTTTTCTACAGCAGCCTGGACTCAGCTCCATGGTGGTGGCAGGGAGCACACACATCAATGACTAAGTTCTCTTCCTGCCTTTTTAGCAATTTTCCTCCTCCCCCAGTTCCAAGGTGGATATCTGGGGTGGGAGGGATGTAAAAGGTGATGGAGATGTTTAGGGACAGCGACAGGACAAGCCTGCTACTGGCAGACGACAACTCCTTTCAAAAGTTTTCTTAGACCTCTCTTCGTTTGAGCTCAGTAGTCAAGGTATTTGTAGGGTACGCTTCCTTGTTTCTCAGTAATCTGCTTCTCCCAACGCAGGGAATAACTTGCGTCTAGTTGTCTGGGCTGGCAAGAGAAACCGGCATAGAACTTGATGGGCAAAGGCTTGTGGGAGGGAGGGAAGAGCATCCATTACATCGTTGTTTCTCATGCTGCCTGGAGGAGGGGGCAGATTTCCTGCCCTATTCTGTTTTTCCATGATGGTGGGTAGCTTACCAGATCATGTTCTGGTACATGTTCCCAGTGGCATCCAAAACCGTTTTAGCTGACTGTGTCAGACACACATGCCATGGGCACAGATACACACAGATATATACACCACATACCCCCACATACCCAAAGCCCACCTATCCCACGGATCCAGCTAAGGGACAGGGGAAAGTGAACCGTAGAAGCCAGGAAGTTAAAGTCTTGTGACCTATTTAGAGCTCAGCGACACACTGGTAGCGTGATTGAAGTCACTAGCTTCCCCTTCCACACTGCTGTGGTTTTCCTACCTGGAACCTGGTGGCCCTGTATCCAGCCCTGGGGGACGAGGGACCAGCCAAGAGGGTTCAACTGCCCAACTTGATAATGACATCCCTGGTGGTGATCATGCTTTCCAAAAATTGGATCTCTTTGTCTGTTCAAACCACCCTTCCTCTTTTTAAAGTAACAATAGAGAAAACATATAAGAAGAGTAGCTTCTCATTTGCTTTGCATGACTCTGGGAGCTGGCCTGAGTCAGTGTGCCGGGAGGTGCAGAGAGACGGGTCTGGGGTCAGCACACGGGTGTCCTGATCGTAGTTCTGCCTCTAACTTGCTGAGTGACCTTTGCCAAGTCCCTTCCTGCTTTAGGTCTGCAGGCTTTTCACGTATTAAAATGAGAGAATAGGGTCAAATGGTTCCCTTCTAATTTTAGGAGTCTGTGTTTTCATTGAGCACTGTATTAGTTTCTTGTGGCTGTTTAACAAATGATTATGACTTTAGTGACTTAAGTCTACAAAAACATATTCTCCCTTAGTCTTGGAGGCTTGAAATCTGAAATCAAAGTGTCAACAGGGCCACCATGGAGGTTCTAGGGGACGATTCTTTCCTTGCTTCTTCTAGTTTCTAGCTACTGCTGGCATTCCTTATGATCTTTGTTATGTAGCTGCACCACACCAATGTCTGCCTTCATGGTCACATTGCCTTCTGTGAGTCTTTGATATATTTCTGCCTCTCTCTTATGAAGATACTCATGATGACATGAGTAATATAATAATATTATATTATCTGATGATATAA